CAGCCCAACGTTTCGGAGTATATGCTTACTCCTTCATCCATTCATTGAAGTCTTAAGTAGCATTTAAAAAAAGGAGTTGACATAAAATTCCCTGCCTTTATGAGTATCACCACATGCAACTCATCCTCATGATTTATCTTCATGTGTCTAGGAAAAGTATTCGCAACAAAATCGCAATGACATGATAGAAAGGTATTCGGTCTGTCTGTCGGAGAGATGGGGCTTGTTGTCTACCACTGCACTCTGCAATATTTCAGTTTTATGACGATGGTGCAACGCTCGAATCTTGAACAGACAATACAGTAATTCTCATCACATAATTTACGCATTTGGCATACGAGATGCAATCGTCCAACTCAGCGAGGCTACTGGTAAGACAAACCACACATTGCTATCATAAAGTAGTTTCAGTTGAAACTTGTCTAAGTCATCAGCTTTGACTTCTAATTTCTTGCCAGTCAGTGATCCGTATTTATACTATAGTAAATGTAGAAACTATCAGTGGGGCTTAACCGACACTTTCAAACCTGTTGAAGATGTAATCCGATCTTGTTCATAAGATCTTTGTACTCGGAGACTATGACAAACTATTCTGCAGCTACACATTTCTATCGAAATTGGAGGCGACACTCATCTAACAGTATGTACCTCGGGGCTGTTTTGTGATTGACATGTTAGAACTGAGCCATATCATGTACCTTTACTATCAATCAACGTTAGACAGGTTTATTTCCAGATTAAGTAGGGCGTATTATGATCAGTGCTTTAACCTGCCTTGGGTTCACTAGGTAAATCCTGACCCACAGGTAAGGTAGGTTTATTTATTTATCACGTAATAGTTTGTATAAAATAATAATTACAAACAGAAGCAGATATACATTTGTTTGAGTGGCATTCTGGAAGTTGGTATTGAGATGACACATCTTTATGGATGATCAACTTCTTTATTTTGACAATGGCGACGTTTCGGTATAGATTCTTATACCGTTTTCAAGCATATGGGGGAATGAACTGGTGTACCCCATCATTCCCCCATATGCTTGAAAACGGTATACGAATCTATACCGAAACGTCGCCATTGTCAAAATAAAGAAGTTGATCATCCATAAAGTTTTGTCATCTCGAGCAGATATACAATACACAGTCCTGAAAACTTTAAGGGTATTTAGGACATAAACACTGTGTTTCCATGTAGAGCACGATTAACTGTAGATGCAACCGTTGTATTTGGAAGATAAGGTGGAGGCTCTTTACAGGTGAAATGCATCGGTGACATCGACAATCTACTACGAATACGGACGATAATAATACACTTTCCCTCTCCGAACCATCGTCCCACAACCATCTTCTTTCGGCCACTTAATGTGGTGATTTGTTTGTTGGTGTACCACTGTTATTTAATCATTCAAATATTGGTCAGCGTTGCATTAAACCGAGAGAATCATATCAAGTGTACTGTTGCTTTGGGTACATCATCACTCCACAACTTTCTCCAGTTCTGCATAGACAGACCCAGCTAAGATTTGATTGTTTCAGTGTCTCTTGGGGTCCACGATGTTTCCGCTGTGCCTGTATTTGCTGATGGTCTCGACACAGTGCCTGTCCACTGCTCAACTCACTTTTCCGGAAGATATCTTGAAAGAAAGTATGACACCTTACAGTAAGTAAAGCGTACTGTATATGGATTTCCTACTAATTTCTAATGCACTTATGGTCATAGCAACCACAGTAAATAAGTGAAAGATGCTTTTGCTCATCCATTTCAGAAATAAGATATGTTGTCAGTCGTTACAACGCAGGAAACGTGGTATGTCTTCTTGCTGTTTATTTTGTCGATGCCCATTATTTACATATCACCTTCAACAATATTCCAGCCATATCACGACGTGCTGTACCATTACAGGTTTTAGGAAAGTGTGCGTATCCATGAAGGAAATGTTTGCCCAAACACTTTAACTACTACCTGACCGTCATGTCTTCTATATAGACAACCAAGAATACCTCTGGATCCCCATCATGTCAATGAAGAAGGGTATGAGGTTTCAATAATAATTGTCATACTTTACTATACTTCACTAACTTTAAAAAGTCTCCAAGGGTAAATTCGTATACAAATAATGTTTCTCCCCCACCCCACACACCCACCCCCAAAGTGTATGATCAAAATGGTATTCGAATATTTACTATGGTAAACGAGGGAATGTTCAGTTTAGTTACAAGCGGTAGATGAACTTTCTAATTTGGAGCAGCAAATCTAATGTTTGTGTCTTGAAAACCAACGTTACCCTCTTAAAAGATCAGTTACTGTCTAAACAACATGGCATATACCCCCGGGTATAATGTATTGTTATGTATAGTTCTATTTAGGATATATTCTCTTAGTTAATTCATATACTCATGAGGATTAATCGACCACCCACCATTTTGATATGACAAGTACGAAAACACAACATGTTGGATGTACCTTGAAAAGCAGACTCCGCCTATTAAAATAATACTTGTAACGTATTCTGGCTATGAAATTCCCTGCCACCCCACGGTATATGGCGATACGGAAACGTTTGTAAATGCCCATGGTGCCATCGTGTATTGTCACCCCAGGTAAAAGTTGATGCCCTCTATCAAAATGATCATGATCTCTAAGCTGGACTTCTATGATGAGTGTGGAGTCCAGTTTCATATCCAATTGGGAATCGGGCACATCAAACTTTAACTCTGCGTCAAGTTTACCATTTATCATGTTACCCGTGTGATCTGGCATTAGATGAGGTTCTATAGGGCCCCTTTCCGTAATGAAAGATCCAATTAAGAAACCATTGTTTCTAATTTTGGTAACATATCCATGTCTATTTAAAGAGACGTAAGGTCCGGTAAGGGTCATGTTGATCAACCAAGACGTGTTGGAATATGCCCGGTCGAAAGTCGACTACTTTTTCGACGTGGGACTGTACATGGCTCCGAGCGACATGCGACTGAGATTCAACAAAGTGGTGGGCTACAACAACAAAATCATGGTAGCCACGGCAGACCAAAAGTTGGGGGTCAACCCCGATGTCAACGTCCCCCACGTGCCGACCCTCACGACCGGTGAAACGGGTATAGTCGTACCACCCCCGGAGCCCAGGGTTCAACCCACACCCCCACAACTCCAACAGCAGGCGTCCAATCAGCAGCACATCGACCGTAAAACAGCGCTGTTGGTCGGGGGATAGGGTTCGGTTTGGGTCTCATTTGGTTAAGAAATTCTTTAGCCGCTATGTACACCAGCCTGGCCACGGCGACGACGGCTGCCCACAGGTTTTGATCGAGCCACGTGACAGTTTTAACCAGCGTGCTCAGCAGCCACGAGAGGATGCTACCCAGGATGCCGGGAAGGGCTTCGGCGGCCTTACCAGCGAGTTTAGCCAGGGCCTCCCCGAGGGATTTCAGGTGTTTTTTTATCCAGTCTCTGACGCAACGAGTGGGTGTACCACCTGGTGTACCACCACCCCCGAGGCCGCCGGACGCCTGACAGCGACATGACCAGGGTTGATATGATGAAGCCCAATGCAGTCAGAATGCTGGCGATAGTAATCCCTTGCTTTTGGAAGAGGATTCGGATCCTGTTGGGCAACGTGGTGTCTTCATTTAGGACTCGATCAATGGTTTCCCGCAAGCGGTTGATCTGAGATCAAAGCTGTTCCCGGTTCGAGGAAGCGGATCCCAACCGAGTCCGTCTCTCATCTTGCAAGTTGCGCAATCGTTTTTCGATGATGGTTTTCAGAGACTCGTCTTCCGTTTCGGTGAGTTTTACTTTCTCGCGGGCGATGTGCTCATCGATTTCATTCAGTTTCCCGCGTTCTGTTCTCCGCGTACACGTTTCAAGGCTTCGTCTAGGCCTCGCAGTTCTCAAACAGGAAATTCTAAACCGGGCAGGGATTTGTCATGGTACGTGGCCAATATTTTTTCGATACTGTCTGATGTTTCTTTGGCATCACCTTCACCGCTGAGTTCGGCCATGATGTTTTGCAGATCTTGGATGACCTTCGGGGGAAGCTTAGGCCGTGCGCCACCGTAATCTATGAAGCCTAGTTCATCACGGATCACTTGCCCACCACAACGACTGACTAGCGTAGACAAGGCAAGCGGTTTTCTCGTGGGCTTATTCACGAGATCGATCTCCGGGTGAGCTTTCAAACACAGTGTGCCCTTCTTATCGATGGTAAACTTGGAATAGTCTAGCCCCAATGGATCGACGTAGTTTCTATCTGGCTTCCACGCGTTGTAATGATCGTCGACGGTTGATTTTAAAAGTTCATTGCTAACGGTGTCGCCCATGAATGAGGTGTCATCCTAATCCCCATCATACGCACCAGCGCCAAAATCATCCATCGGGATGTCCTCATGGCCGCCTTCAGCCATTATTTATATTAAACTTTTATATTTTATCTATATAACAATGTATGGTAGGAAACTAGATCCTTTCAGAAGATCAAGAGAGCCTCTAGGCGTCAGAGCCGTGCGCCAGTCGGTGACCATCACCAACAATCCCAGCAAGATAGATCAGAACCAAACGCTGCTGGTTAGATTCCCCAACCTGGGTGAGAATGACCTCATTGTACCAGGCACGGTTCGACTGACGTTCAACCTCACGTTGACCTCCGACAACGACAAATGCGAGCCAGTGCGGAACGTAGGTCGAGCCATCATCAAGAAAACCACTATCAAGATCAGCGTTAACGAGATGTTGAGCATCGACGACAGCGACGTGTTTCACTGCTACAGGGACCTCTGGAAAAGCGAGGGAGAACGCGTCAATGACGTGTACCAAGGTATCAGCAAATCGACTCGGTTTCGCGTGGGGTACAGCTTCACGCAAGACCAGCTAGACAAGATCTCAGAGGGTGAAAAAGGCCATCGCCCAAGTGTACAGGAACAGGTTCTGCGTGCCGCTTGACTTCGAGTTGCTCACGGGACACACGCCGTTTTACCAGGCCGCGTTTGGGGATAGGCTTGAATACGAGCTCACGTTTAACGACTACAGCAAAGTCGTGCGTACACCGTACGTGATTTGCCTGGCGGCGAGCCATCTATTGATCTACCCCACGACCCACACTGAGCCATAGTGTGCGAGCAGACGGGCTGTGGGAAGACCGTTTCCGTGCTGGTTCTGCTGGAGGGGTACTACCGGGATGTGTTTAATAACATCGTTATCATGTGCCCTAATTTACACATGAAAAGAACGTACACGGAAATACCTTGGGTGATGACGGACCCGGATGTACACAGAGTCGACCTGGGGACACGTCTGCAGGACTGGTTGAAGGCTTATCACAACAAATTCAAGGGGGAGACGACGCTGTTTATCCTGGACGACTGCAGCTCTAATAAAGAGATAACAAAAAAGAGAGACATACTCTCGTACCTGGCCTTCTCCGGACGGAACGGCAAGCACAGCGTCTGAGTGCTAACGCAGAAGTTCAACTTTGTGTTGAAAGACCTCAGGGAGCAGACGCGATGGGTTGCCTTATTCCACTGCAAGGACAGGGATTCGTTCGAGGACTGCTTGAGAGAGAACGATGTGATGAGCAAACTAGAACGTGTGCTAGAACAACTGTTGGTGCCGCAGGATCAGAGTGACGACAAGCGAGAGAGACTGTTAGCGCTGGCAGTCGGTGGTAAAGCCAAACAATACTTTGGGGACTACACTCCCGATAAAATTCACAAAATGTCAGCCGAAGAAATCGATAAGCTTTACGCGAGATAGGAGGCTAGACTCGGGGCCGAGATGACAAATACTATTGGATCGGCTATGACCCAGATCTACACTGGTATAGCGTCGTACTTCCTTCCCATTCCCCAGGAACGTCGACTTTACCTGTGGGAGGACCCTTTTATTGAACACGCCTTGAGCTCTGTCAGCTGCGTGCTGTACCACAAATGCGGGATGTTTTTAGCCCGGGTGACGGCGGCGATTATCACGGCAAAGCATTGCCAATTTAAGGTGGGAAAAAATAATAATAATAGTATACAAGATGGATGCTGCCCAAGAAATGAGCCCAATGGGGGAGACCCCCCCACAGGAGGAGAACGAGGGTTTCCCTCCCCAGGAGACAGTCACCAGGAAGAAGAACCCTAAGAGAGTCGCCGCTGGTAGAAAAGGTTGTTTAACCAAGCATAAGAGTAACTACACTCTGTGGATTGCAGGCGCAACTGCTGCCGCGGCTCTCTCATTATTGTTATATAATAAACAAGCACCCCCAGCACCACAACCACAATTAGAGGTCAACCCACATATCATGTTATAAATATATATTTTTATATCATATACATAATGTCTGAGGGGAAAACGTTCGTTAACGATGCATACCACGCCACCGTGGTCGCCAGTCTAGCCGTGGCGCTTAAACAACCGACTATCAAGCTAGATTTCAACCTGCAGGATATGGGAATGCTCATAATGAACCTGGGTATGGCGATGGCCACCAAGGACATCCTCGTAATACAAGGGATCATACCGGAAAATATTTTGAAGTAAATGTAGCTATATATAGGATGGCTACGATCGCCATGATGGTCGGCGGGGCGTTAGTAAACGCCCTGGCATTTTCCGGGAGTAATTTCCTCTTCTCGAAACTACGGGAGTCGAACGCGGCCGAGATAGAAGCGGAACGGAAATGGCACAACATAGCCGTAGAGAAACTGCAAGCCGTACAAGCCGAGTACGTGAAGAAACGTATACAGAGGATCGATTACATTAACGAACAACTCCAGCCTGAGAACCATGCCGTTAAAACATTCGAGAACGTTGAAGACGCAGCAAGAGAATTATACCTGCTAACCGGTAAACGGCTAGAACCACTCCATAAGCCCACACTCACTCAGTACTACACACCATCCCCGGGGCAAAAGGACCGGGAACTGGCCTTCATCGCGCTGGGTCTAGCAGCGACTGCGTTAGTTGTAAAGCAATTAGACTAAGTCCCCATATGAGTATACCAAAGATGAGACCTGCCCCGTACCGATGCCAGTACATACTTAGGGGGAAGACCGAGACCTGCAGTAGGAAATGTAGGATGGAGGGGTACTGCTGTTTTCATAGGAGATGTTTAATAAACTACACGTGTTCCGTGTGCGGTATTGGAGTGAAATGTCACTACTGTTTATGTCCACGGGGCAAACGTAGTCAGGCGCCAGCTTATCTACGAGAAGAAAAAGGACTACATAAACGAATGTAGGCGCCTCCTTAGTATGGAGGTGTAGCTCTCATTATTTTTACTTAGAGCTGGAGGAGTTTCCTCCCTTGCCAGTGCCCGCATTAGAGCCTGTGTACACCTAGGTATAATAATGCCTGCGTTCATACGAATTCCACCCCCAGCTTTTGGCCTGAGAAGCTGGTTGATGTTTCCGGGTAAATGTAGTATTGATGACATCAGACTTCTGGTCATTAGCAAACTTGAAGAGGAAATAAACGAATTGGGGCACATCAACTTCCAAATGATTGTTACTACAAAGCTGGATGTCTTCAGAGAACAAGTATTGACTAAATCAGCTAATATATATACGTGTATCCCCGACGATCTTGAAATAATAAAACGAAAAGGCTATCCTGACATCGATACGGTTATTCTAAATATTTTCATTTTTACTCGGCACCGAACACCCAATTAGATATTGTATACACCTTGGTATAACAATGACTAGTGTCCGAGAGCTCAAGCAGATTGCGAGAGAACGAGGCGTAGCGGGTTACTCCCGAATGAGGAAGCCAGAGTTGTCGAGATTACTCGCCATACAACCCCCTCCCACAGTAAAACAACTAAAACTCCGAGCGAAAGAGTTGGGGCTGACAGTTTATTCTCGTATGAGGAAAGCCGACCTAATTGAACGGCTGAACGACCCCGTTCGTCCCCACACCGTGAAACAACTCAAACAGGAGGCTCGAGAGCCAGGGTTAGTAGGTTATTCCCGTATGACGAAGCCCGACCTAATTGAACTATTGCGTCAGAATAAAGCTGGCGCATGCATGTTGATAAGAACATAGACATCACCGACGTCAAGCCTCTAATCGCTGATAAAGTTAATGAGGAACTAAACGATTTGGGAAGTATACAGTTTCAAATCACAGTGAAAATGTCACTAGATAAACAGCAGAATGGGGGGGGGGGGGTTTTGTGTGTGTCGTTGACTACGTTCAGCATTTACTTCCGGGGTAAACAAGAAGTCGTGACTCATACCGAGACTATAGACGAGTCAATCGATATCAGTTTTCAGCAGATACGAGAATACCTAGAACGCTACACGCACATGGGTTCCAGGTGGGTCGTGGGTAGAATCGATAAGGTCTATCTAGACATAGCTAACAACGTACCATTCAGAGGGGGGTCGTACCTAGACTTGCCCCCCTACTACAAAGCAAAACAGGCCATAGTCAACATCAAGAATAGAGGAGACGATTGCATTAGGTTAGCTATCAGGTCAACCTTGTTTCCAGCTGACACTAATTCGAACAGGCCTTCTAGCTCTCCTCAAGACGATGGGCTCAACTGGGATGGTATAGCCGAACCCACCCCCATATCCCAGATCACTAAAATAGAAAAACAGAATGATGGCATAGCCATAAACGTCTTAGGGCACAAAGGCAACACAACGGTCGTGCACAGGGTCAGTCCAATGTTGGGTCGCCGCATGATCAATATATTCATGATCCAGCTAGGTGATAAGTATCACTACACGTGGATAAAACACCTCAGCAGGCTGTTGCACGACCAGTTGGGAAAAAACACTTTTGCGTACGATGCCTGCACGGTTTCAGCCGACCCACCCTGCTGGAATCCCACCGGGAGGATTGCCAAGGTGTTGGGCAGACGGCCATACGAGTCGACATGCCCAAGGAAGGCGACAATATCCTAAAATTCGACAACCACAAGAACCAGATGGCTGTACCTTACATCATCTACGCCGACTTCAAAGCCTTGGTCAAACCCGTTGAGGCTGCCGCCGGCAGGGCCACACACAAAACACAGGAGCACGAGGCCTGTGGGTTTGGATACGTGGTCGTCCGGTGTGATGTGGAAACGAAAGCTCCCGTAGTGTACAGGGGTCCCGACGCGGCTGAAAAATTTCTAAAGTGTTTGCAGGAGAAAGAGAAAACTATTAGGAATGCACTGTACACTGTCGCTCCCATGCGTATGACTCAAGCCGACCGGCTAGCTCACGGCTGCAGCACTCACTATCATGTGTGTGATAGCCCGCTGAATGGCGATTCGGTGAGAGATCACTGCCATGTCACCGTTAAGTATAGAGGCGCTGCTCACAGCACGTGCAACCTCAAGCTCAGAATCAACCCCAAGACAATAAACATCCCCGTCGTCTTCCACAACTTGAGAGGGTATGACTCTCACTTGATCATGCAGGCCATCGCGAGGGTTGACGGCACCCTGACGTGCATCCCCAACAACATGGAGAGATTCATCTCCTTCAGCTTGAATGGCCTGAGGTTCATCGACTCGGTTCAGTTCCTCCTGTCGTCACTCGACAGTCTGGTCAAGGCCAACGATACCTTCCCCATCACCGATCGATACACCGACTGGAGACTCGACCCCTGCTGATGAGGAAGGGCGTGTACCCCTACGAGTACATGGATGGCTGGGTCAAGTTCGCTGAGTTCGACTACCCCCCATCAACCGATTTTACAGCAACCTGACCAACTCGACAATCACCCAAGATGATTACTCACACGCGATTAACGTATGGAATAAACTGGGCTGTAAGAATCTGGGTGACTACCACGACCTGTACTTGAGAACAGACGTACTCCTGCTAGCCGACGTGTTCGAGACGTTTAGGAGGATGTGTTTTAAGCAGTATCAACTCGACCCCGCATGGTACTACACCAGCCCAGGTCTATCTTGGGATGCCTTGCTGAAGAAAACCGGAGTTAAGCTGGAATTGCTCACCGATTACGACATGCACCTGTTCATTGAGAAAGGCTTGCGAGGTGGGATCTCCATGGCTGCCAAACACTACGCAAAAGCCAATAATCAATACGTGAAGGGCTACAACTCGAGCAAGCCAACCAATCACATCCTCTACCTCGATGCCAACAACCTGTACGGTTGGGTCATGAGCCAGTATCTACCCACAGGGGGATTCGAATGGGCATCACCCGAGATCGATGTTATGAGCATCGCGCCGGATTCGAACAAAAGCTATATCCTCGAAGTGGACTTGGAATACCCCAAGGCATTGCACACATCACACAACAGCTACCCCCTGGCCCCCGAACGTTTCAGGGTTAACCCAGACTGGATGTCCAAGTACCAACATAACTTGCTGGGTGGGCGGGTGGCAGACGTTGAAAAACTCGTGCCCAACTTAATGAATAAGACCAAGTACATCGTTCACTATCGCAACCTGCAGCTGTACCTGTCGTTGGGTATGAGGCCTACCAAAATACACAGGGTGCTCGTGTTCGCCCAGAGCCCCTGAATGGAGCCCTACATCAGAATGAACACGGACCTGCGAAAGCTTGCCACCAGTGACTTTGAGAAAAATCTCTACAAGCTCATGAACAACTCGGTGTTCAGTAAGACAATGGAGAACCGTGAAGCTGGTTCCGTCGAAAGAGGAAGACAAGCTCAGGAAACTGATAGCCAGCCCGGCATTCAACCAGAGCAAGATATTCACTGACGACCTGGTGGCCCTACATATGAAGAAGAGCCACATCAAATTCAACCGGTCTGTTTACTTGGGGATGAGCATCCTCGATTTATCCAAACACCTGATGTACGACTTTTACTACAACGAGCTGAAGAAACAGTACGGCGCCCGGTGTGAAGTGCTGTACACGGACACTGATTCCCTGCTGATGCAGATTCGAACCGAGGACGTGTACGAGGACATGAAGAAACGCCTCGATTTGTACAACACCAGCGACTACCCCAAGGACCATGCCATACACAGCACAGTAAATAAAAAAGTGCTCGGCAAGATGAAGGACGAGTGTGCTGGCACGCCCATAGCTGAGTACATAGGCTTGAGACCCAAGATGTACTCCATCCTGAAGGCCGACAGTGGTGAGATCCAAAAGGCGAAGGGGGTCAAGAAGTACGTGGTGAAACAACACATCAAACACGCCAGATTCAAGGAAGCCCTGTTCAAGACCCGCACCTTCAGGCATCAAATGAACACGCTTAGAAGCGACGGGCACAGGATATACGGACTGACGATAAACAAGACGTCCCTATCACCGATGGACACGAAGCGTTGGATAGCCATTGACGGGATCAACACGTACGCGTACAGGCATGAGAAAATTGAACCAAGAACATAGGTGTATATATAAATACCCTGTCGGGGCGACAACGATGTCACGGAACCAAAGAAAGTTTGAGGCTATTTACTACAGCCCGCGTGGGTACTGGAAAGGAGCTAGTGCTGTACAGAATTAAGCTGGCCAAAATGGCGCGAGTACACCCGGACGAGGCCAAAGCGTGGCTCGAAAAACAAGCCCTGTGGCAGATCTATTTACCGGCACCACGCTACGTGCCCCGAAGAAAGTTCGACATTAACATACCCAATAGCGTCCACCAGGCTGACCTCCTGTTCCTACCCCACAACAAAAGAGGTACAAGTATGCCCTAACCGTCGTGGACGTGGCCAGCCGCTACAAAGGAGCCGAACCCTTAACCGTGAAAGACTCAGCCCAGGTAGCCCGCGGATTCGAACGCATGTACAAACGCAGTCCGCTGACATGACCCACCGAACTGCAAGTCGATCCCGGACGGGAGTTCATGGGTGCCATGTCACAACTGCTAGCCAAGCACGGCGTCCAGGTCAGGCCGAGAGATTCAATAGGACTTTGGCCGAGTGCTTATTTGGGCATCAGTATGTGAGAGAGATGGCCAACCCGGGAAAACGGGGGACACTCGGAAACGAGCCACCGATCCGATATGGTCAGTCAAAACTTACAACATAGATAAAGTGGACATCAAAGCCAACGAGCCGAACTTCAAAGCCAACGAGCCGAACTTGTACTACTTGAGAGATGGGCCAGGGAGAGGTTTCGTTAGAGAGGAATTATTAGTCATACCGTACAGCACAATGTTACCCCCCAAGCAAAATATTTAACACTTACCTTGTCGGGTAATCTTCATGGTATCCTGTCAACATGACATAGAGCTATCACATGATCAGGAAAGTGCTAGTTCGCGGTCATAGTGACACAATAGTGTCACGTGGGGCCGGGAAGTAAACTGGGGATTCAAAAGTAGTATATACGATGGCGGCGAGGTCTTTACAGCGACCTTTCTTGGAATTGATCTCGGACTATCATTGTATATACTACTATTTTCCTTTGATGTATTTGGGACTTACGTATGATATCCCCTTAGAAGGACAATAATTTTATAGTAGTTTAACCCCCTTTGAGGATAGAGACACTAGCAATCTCAGTTGATAATCTAAACTACCAATTATAAAACATTTATCTATTTACAAAACAGTTGCCAAACTTTATTCAACAATTCTATCAGAAGGGATGCAAAACGGAGGGTCTTCACCGATTTAATAAATATTCATGTGTATACCTTGTGTTGCCAATGCGACATTGTCGCATGATGAGCTCTTCAAATCTGGACTGACTTGAAATGGTTGGTTTAATTTGATGTAATTTATTGATACCGACTTTGGTGTCCCACTTCTTTTGCATTAGATCACGGATGTACGATCTAATGATAGCTTTGTAATCAGAGTGTGGGATAAGAAGTGGTGTCACAGATTTGTTGAGTGCTGCCTTAGCAGCAAAATCGGCCATTGTGTTACCAGAAATTCCAACGTGGTTGGGTAAGCAACAGAGGACGATGTCGTATTGGCTAGTAGCAAGATCATTTTTTGATGCAATCATTTCTATGAAATATGGATGTTTACTAGATAGATATTTAATAGACTGAAGGCACGAAAGGGAGTCTGAAAATATTATATACTGTTTATATTTTGGGTGTTTATAATATATTTTAAGGCTGTTAATATGACGTTTGCTTCTGTTGTGAAAGTTGAGCTGTTATTTGGTAACCTAGGGAATATTGTTCTGGATCCAATGACAGTGGCACAAGCAACTTCGCCACCATCCTCTGTAAATAGTTGTTGACTTTAAAGCCATTTTCAATGTTTGTTCTACTTTATAAAGGAAAAGGCGCAAAATGTGATCCCAAAACCCTACAGAGGCATCACCCTAAACTCCTGTATAGGGAAACTATTTGAAAAACTATTACTGAGAGAGAGACAATTGCTTATGTAAGCGGGGTAAGGAATACAGAGAGTTTTTGATCTTCTATAGAGAGACTTTATTGTTCATTGTGGATGGATGAATCCATGTAACGAAAAACCTACAACAAAAGACAAGGCAGTTTGTCAGGACATGCCGAGATACATACTCTTATCAACAAATCATACTATAATTCAAATACAATAGACATGATAATTACTACTTATTGATGTTGACCAGCAAAAGTATTACATATGATCAATCAATAATATAACATCACTCTTGACTTTTTGAACAATAGATGAAATGTACATGAACTGAGGTTGATTAATTAACATGGCTGAAAATATCAGTAACATTCAAACCCATCTCTACACATGAATCTTATTACCATACAAAATATCCTATGAGACGTGTTACGCTTACAAATTGCAATTAATGGTAATAATTATGAAAATGAGGATGTACAGAACTGCCCCTTTAACTCACCCCCAGGAGAACACTCCTTTCAGCAACGGTCAGTGGTCACATGACCCAGGGCACGGACCAACTAGTCCTAATATCAAAACAATAATTATACTTAGTACAATAATAACCAAACGTTATTATGCAGTAAAATACAATATAATTCTAACAACTGTGCATAGAAATGGCATAGTTTATGAATATAATCGAGGAGAGGTAATCAGAAACATTTGTAAACAAAACACTGCACAACGAGGGAAGGGAGGTAACTCTTTGTGATCATCATTAACAACAAAGAAAAACTTGCTTGTTTCGACCCATAATGGTCATACAAAACTATTCTACAAATAACAACAATTTCAGTGAATAATTTACAATTCACTCGCATTAAAATATGTTGAAACAAAGACTAAGATTAATAATACTAAAAGCATCGTGGACTACACACAAGTTGTTGTGAACCTTGTGAGGATGACCCTCTCGCTTTGTGCTTGAATGTTATGAATGAAATATTACAAAAACACGGCCTTTCTAACACCTCTAACCTATTGCTAACATAAAAGCAAAACACTATGAGCCAAGAGCATGTACTCACATTGAAACTGTTGTGGCTAGCAGAAGAAACGATTGACTTGTCTGCTTGAAAACCGGCGCTACATATGAGAGGTGATGGCGCCGAAATGGAACAATAGCGAACTGCACTATGGGAAAAGATTTTATATCTTTTTACATCAAACACCTAAAAGTTGGATAAACGTTAATGGAACATATTATTTTTAATGATAAATAGATTAGAAAGACTTATAATTACGAAAATGGTGTATTTGTTGGTGATATGAAATTCCTGTTTCCGACTACTTCCGGAAGCTGCCGAAGATAACGACGTGAAAACAAGGGCAAAACAAATGTATATAGAAACTCCTTTACACTCCCCTGCTAAATAGTTGACCCCTGACAACTATAGACAGTAACCACTGGCTGTGCCTTATAAAATAGTGTAACCACACAGTGAAAGAAAAGGTATTTCACAGGGACAGTGCATGATTGTACTTTTTGCACACCTTGACACATGACTTATATAACAAAAATAATAATTCTAACTAATGACTAGACTAACATTGTAACACATCATGGCACATGAGAAAATACTGATATGGCACTGTTCAGAAAATACTGATATGGCATTGTCCATTTGATAAGAGTTCACTTTGTCGTTGAGTTTGCCAATAGCTGCAACAACAACAGTTGAGATTGGCTGATGTTGGCCAACACTGTAGGATCGATCTGTGGGGATGATGTTACTTCTTGCTGCAGGGCTGACCGCGGCAAGTTATGTGGATTGGGATGTTGTCCAGCAGTCGATCTGGTGCTGTGACGTCGTTTGGGAGCTCCACTTGAGTCAAGCTCCCCTGCTTCAAGTGAAGCACTATTATTGTCCTCAACTGTATCAGGCATGTCAGCAACTCTGCTGTCACACATAACACCATTACGATTATCATTCACAACACTTTCACTAGTAACCTCATTATCATTCACAACACTGTCACTAGTAACCTGATTATCATCATGGTTACTGGCGGTAGCAATATCAACAGTCACCAACAACACAGTTGATTGTAGTAGAATTAGCTTCGGTTTCACAAACAGGAATCTCAGGGGTGTCTGACTGGCACATTTCATCATTGTCACAACCAAGCATGTCAGGCTCCCCCGCTGTGCATGAAGCACTTCCCACAAGATTCCCATTGCTCACTAAATTGGGTGTTGGTCGCACTATGGTGAAGGTACATGATTCTGGCAAGAGGTTATCTTCGACGTCTTCTGGGACAACCTCTGGGATCGTCTGACGAATCTGGTGATTGGGGTTTACCTCGATGAGGGTGGCTGGTTGCTGGTCTTCTACCAGGGTTCTGGAGTCCAGTAGCTGTTTCCTATGGACCGACTTTTCACCCTCACCACTCAATGGTTGAATGACATAGACGTTATTTTCTTTCCTTCCTATGACCTTTGTAGGGCTCTGGACGCCATATGTCCTGAATCTTATGACCCCAGAGGATGGTTCCGTGAGGGAAAACTCTTGCACCAACTATCAGCTGCCTGTCGTTCGTGTCCTGGTTGAGAGTGGAGCTCCGTTTGAGAGCAGCCTCCTCTGTCCTCTGACTGGCTTGATTGAAAGCTACTTCTAGCCTCTGGTGGTGCTCTGTAATCCAGTCATTGTCATCACTTTCCTCAACTTCACTGCCAATAACAAGATCCACTGGCATTTTAGGATCTCTGCCGAAGAACAGGTAGTATGGTGAATACTTGGTTGTAGCATGTGGTGTGCAGTTATATGCATACATTAGTTCAGGAAGAAGGGTAGGCCATTTCTTTTTCTGAGCAGGGGGCAGTGTCCTAAGCATGTTGTGAAGAGTTCTGTTGAAACGCTCACATTGGCCATTACCTTCAGGGTGGTATGGTGTGGTCCTGGTTTTCTTCACTCCATAGACACTGCATAACTCCTGTATGACCTTTGACTCGAAATTTCTCCCTTGATCGCTGTGTAAACGCTGCGGAACACCCAGACGGACAAACCACTCTTTGACAAGTATCCTTGCTACGGTCTTGGATGTCTGATCCCTTGTTGGAAAGGCTTGTGTATATTTTGTGTAAACATCCGTCAGCACTAGTACATTCTCCAGTCCATGGCTTCCTTTTTCCAACACAGTGAAATCCATCGCCAATATTTCGAGAGGTCGTTTGGCTATGATATAACCAAAGGAGGGTTTAACTGAAGGCCCATGTTTACCGAGCAGGCAACGTTCACAACGCTTGCAGTACTCTTCGATGTCCTTGGCCATGTATGGCCAGAAGCACCTCAATTTCAGAATTGAATAGGTTCTCTCTGCACTCTGGTGTCCACATTCATCGCGGACTTGATGTTAATATTCTGGGGAGTAGTTTTTCCGAATTACCATCTGAGAAATTGTCTTTCCATCTTCAGTCACTTTTCTGCAGAGGACATGTTGTACAGGGTCATGTTTTTCCAGCTCTTGACCAGTTTCCGGTCTTCGTTATCTTCTCTGAGCAGAGTTCGCTGAGATGGATAACGATCAAGTTTAAAATAGTGTAGAAACTTTCCGATGCTGGGATCGTCTGCCTGGAGCTTTGCCATTTCATCGTGTGACACTGATGGGATTCGTGTGCTGGGGGATGATCCTTCACGCATTGGAGTTGCGGATATGGTTTCCATGCGAACAACATTGAGGTCTTGCTGAATCTGTAGTTTCAGATCGACAGGCAGACGACTTGACACTGCAGGTAGTTGCTCTACATGGTTGGCATATACAGACTCTAGGCGGGCTCTGTCTGCTGTATGTTCTACTTTTCTGCTCAGAGAATCAGCATTTCTGTTCTTCTTGCCTGATCGGTGCCTGATGGTGAGGTTGAACTGCGCTAACTCTCCGATCCATCTGGTTTCTGTGGCTCCCAATTTGGCTGTGGTCTGGATGTAGCTCAGGGGATCATTGTCAGTATACACCATGCAATCTGCTCCCAGAAGAAAATCCCTGAATTTTTCCGTGACGGCCCACTTCAATGCTACTAACTCCAACTTCATGCTTGAGTAGTTCTCCATGTTCCTTTCACCGGGTCCGAGTGATCGGCTGGCAAAACTTAAAACAACTCTCCCTGTTTCTTGGTCCTGTGATAACACAGCTCCCAGGCCATAGTGGCTGGCGTCAACCTCCAATATGTATGGCCTTGTGAAGTCGGGATGTCCCAAGACAGGTGCCATGGTAAGTCTATGCTTCAGTTCCTCAAAGGCCTTTTCACATGAACTGTCCCAAGCCTTCATACCACGTCCAGTTTCAGTCTTTCGTTTGCCTTTCTTTCCTTTCGTCCTTCCTTGTAAGAGAGAGTGAAGTGGTGCTGCCACGCTTGCAAATGATGGTACAAACTTCCGGTAATATCCTGCTAGACCAAGAAAACCTCTAAGCTCTGTTTCCGTTTTAGGAATTGGCCATCTGGTTACTGCTTCAATCTTCTCTGGGTCGGGAGATACCTGTTTGAGAAACTAGATGTCCCAGATACCTAAGTTTCTCTTTGAACAGTTGGCACTTTTCGGTTTAACCTTCAAGTTGAATTTTGACACCCTTGTCAAAACCATGTCCAATCTTTCTAATGTCTGTTCGAATGTCGTGCGAAAATAAGGATGTCGTCAAGGTAAAATGAGAAGAGTTTGAAAGTTCTCGTCACCAAAGATTCTGTCCATCAGGCGCATGAAGGTGCCTGGTGCCCCAGTCAATCGAATGGCATGCGGAGATATTCATATAGTCCACCTGTTCGACTCTGAATGCCGTCTTTTCAATATCTTCCTTGGCGACTGCAATCTGGTTAAAGCCGTGAGCAAGGTCCAAGCTACAAAAGTATTTCGCACCCTTTAGGACTGTCAAAGCTTCGTCTATCCTTGGCAAAGGATATGCGCCCCACGTGTCTTCAAGTTCAGCGGCGATAGTCACAACATACTCTCAGCTTTGTTCCTTTCCTAACAAGCACCACAGGAGCTGCATAGGGACTGGATGACTCCCGATGATACCTTTCTCCAACGACTTGCGTGAGATAGTCGCGGACCTCTTGCCATTGGCTTGGTGGTATCGCCCGGTGGGGAATCCTGACAGGTATATCGTCCATAGTTGGAATCTTGTGTTCAATGGCATCACAGAATCCTATGTCGTCCTCGTCTTTGCTGAATACATCAGAGTGTTTGTTGATTAATTCCTGTAGTTTTTGTTGGCAGGAAGAAGGAAGACTCTCAGTAACATCCATACGCTGTAGGAGGCTGTCAACAAGCTGTGACTTCAAGCTGTTTCCACCTGTATCTGTGACTTGTACTTCATTGCAGCTGACCTCCACAACATCGTAAGTTGGTTCAACTTCGGCCAGGTTTAAAACTCCAACCTGTGTTCTTGGATTGAGATATATAGCCTTGTCGCTGAAATTGGCAACTTGGCACGGTACTCTCCCTGTAGAGTCCACATTGACCACAGTTGGACCCAATTTAAGTCCAACTGGCAACGGAGCAGAGATTTCCTCAATGATGGCGGTGTAGGACACCTTGCTCGGCTGAACAGTTCCCTCAAAGACCATGAGTGATCGAGCTGGGACAAGGATGGGCTTTTACCAGAAACTCTTATCCTGAGATTTCGTTTTGTTGAGGCAGGAATTTGATCGTAGTATGCCAAAACTTGGTGAGCGCCCTTGGGTACTTGGAGATTGTCTTTGCGTTACCTTAAGTCTTATATCTCGAAGGGCATTGGATCCAAGTACTCCAGGAACTTTCTGTTTCCGTGTTCTTGTGTCCTCGTCAGTTGGATCTTTGACGACCATGAACCAGATTATACCCATGTTATGTCCAAAAGCTTTAATCTCCAGAGCGAGGTATCCCAGGTAGGGTATGTCCTGTCCATTCGCGGCAGTAATCGCGAATCAACCTTCCCATGTCCAATAACTCCTCTGCTGACAGGTGCTCCTTGTAGAAGGACTCGGTGATTGTCGACACCTGAGCTCCAGTATCAATCAGACATGTAAGGCTCATTCCATTCGCAGTAATGCTGGTCTCTGGGCATTTCCCTACCACTCTATACAAGAAGGGACCATTTGTTAAACTTTCCTCGGCTCCCACAGTGAGGTCCTTCACGGTGGGAATCACTGGTTTAAAGCTTGTTTGGGGGGGTTTCTTCGGTTTCGGGGACACCTTCTTTGGATGTGGCCTTCTTCACCGCAGCTCCAACAGGTCCTTGGTCCTCGAGGCCTGCTGCTATTGAGCAAACTGGCGATCTGTTCTTGTTGACGTTCAATGATGGCCTCTTGTCGTTTGAGTATATCTGCCATTTGGGCTTGATGTTCCTGAGCGTATACTATTGATCTTTCTTTGGAATTGCCCCCTAGCCATTCAATGACACGGTCGCGGAGATCCAGGAAGGATAGCTCTGGATGCTCACGTGTCAGCCTTCTGATTTCCCGCCTCTGGACTTCATGGTAGGCTGACTCGGCAAGCTGTCCCTTCAGTGCCATCTCCTTCATACCATGGAAAGTGCTATCAATTTCCACGATCTTGTCATATAGCTCGATTAGGTCAAGCGAAGTTGTTACAAGGTCGCTACCAGCTGCCTGGCGGTAAGAATAGAAGCGGTGTTGGGCTGCTGGCAAGTCATTTCCCTCTCCGAACACTTTCCTCAGGGTTTTGATGATCTGCCACGGAGACTTCCTAGTATCAGGTCCTCTTGCTAGGATTTCCTGGCGAGCCCGTCCACCCAAGTTGTCACATAGAAGAACCGCATAGTCCTCCTCGGACAACTTCCTTGTCTCAGCGGAGACTTTCATATCCGAAATCCACTCTTCAAGCGTGGTGTCACCAGCTCGTAGAGGCTTGTCTTTGAAGCGCGGGAGTTGTCGTCCAGTGGATATGACGAGTGGCTTGCTGGCACCGGCAGATAGTGACAGCTCCTGGTCCCGAACTTTTATGCGAAGTGCTTCCAGTTCCATGGCAAGCGATTCCATTTTCTTTAAGTTTGGGTCTGCCACAACAACTGCTGGTTCCTCATCTGCCATCTTGTTCTAGCCTCCCTGGGGGTTTTCCACAATAACTGCTCTGTATCCCACTTCTGACACCAAATGTAAGCGGGGTAAGGAATACAGAGAGTTTTTGATCTTCTATAGAGAGACTTTATTGTTCATTGTGGATGGATGAATCCATGTAACGAAAAACCTACAACAAAAGACAAGGCAGTTTGTCAGGACATGCCGAGATACATACTCTTATCAACAAATCATACTATAATTCAAATACAATAGACATGATAATTACTACTTATTAATGTTGTCCAGCAAAAGTATTACATATGATCAATCATGATATAACATCACTCTTGACTTTTTGAACAATAGATGAAATGTACATGAACTGAGGTTGATTAATTAACATGGCTGAAAATATCAGTAACATTCAAACCCATCTCTACACATGAATCTTATTACCATACAAAATATCCTATGAGACGTGTTACGCTTACGGCGGAGAATTACAAATTGCAATTAATGGTAATAATTATGAAAATGAGGATGTACAGAACTGCCCCTTTAACTCACCCCCAGGAGAACACTCCTTTCAGCAACGGTCAGTGGTCACATGACCCAGGGCACGGACCAACTAGTCCTAATATCAAAACAATAATTATACTTAGTACGATAATAACCAAACGTTATTATGCAGTAAAATACAATATAATTCTAACAACTGTGCATAGAAATGGCATAGTTTATGAATATAATCGAGGAGAGGTAATCAGAAACATTTGTAAACAAAACACTGCACAACGAGGGAAGGGAGGTAACTCTTTGTGATCATCACGAACAAAGAAAAACTTGCTTGTTTCGACCCATAATGGTCATACAAAACTATTCTACAAATAACAACAATTTCAGTGAATAATTTACAATTCACTCGCATTAAAATATGTTGAAACAAAGACTAAGATTAATAATACTAAAAGCACGTGGACTACACACAAGTTGTTGTGAACCTTGTGAGGATGACCCTCTCGCTTGTGCTTGAATGTTATGAATGAAATATTACAAAAACACGGCCTTTCTAACACCTCTAACCTATTGCGAACATAAAAGCAAAACACTATGAGCCAAGAGCATGTACTCACATTGAAACTGTTGTGGCTAGCAGAAGAAACGATTGACTTGTCTGCTTGAAAACTGCGCTACATATGAGAGGTGATGGCGCGAAATGGAACAATAGCGAACTGCACTATGGGAAAAGATTTTATATCTTTTTACATCAAACACCTAAAAGTTGGATAAACGTTAATGGAACATATTATTTTTAATGATAAATAGATTAGAAAGACTTATAATTACGAAAATGGTGTATTTGTTGGTGATATGAAATTCCTGTTTCCGACTACTTCCGGAAGCTGCCGAAGATAACGACGTGAAAACAAGGGCAAAACAAATGTATATAGAAACTCCTTTACACTTATTAGCGTGTCAACAGTTATACAAACATCCATAAAATGTAGACAGATAACCCATCCATAGTATAACATACGGCCAACTTTGACCTATGGGACACTGTAAGTTCCATAACACATACACATCATACCAGTAATAAAATGTGAACACATACAGCCACACACAACATACACGCGTATAAATACCATACACATCATAAACAAAACCATACATATAACCATACCTACAACCATACATATAACCATACCTACAACCATACCTACAACCATACATATATATATACACACGCACACACACACAGTCCTGTCATCATAAATACCACATATACATACGTTTACAATCATACACACACACAACTATCCTCAAACACAACCATCTACACACTCATACATGCACGCACACACATACATACACACCTAGCTACATACAACCACACCACCATACATACATACATACATACATACATACATACATACATACATACATACATACATACATACATACATACATACATACATACATACATACATACATACATACATACATACATACATACATACATACATACATACATACATACATACATGCACATACATACATACATATAGATTATACATGGTACATACATGTTTATACAAATCTGGGATTAACTCTACTTAATATTCAGAAAATGTTCTCTGTCACATCAAGAAAGACAACTCCAATTATGAAGAATTATATATTAATTAAAATATTTACCCATTTCATCCGTATACGGCCCGAAGCAGTATCTTGTTTTTTGCAGGGTTTATGGAGGAGAAAATTAGTCTATATTTGTTTCAATTTCCTTTCATTCATATCACTGGATACAGGGGCACTGCGTTCTAAAAGTATTGCAGAGACAAGGTAGAGTCCTGTCTTGGTGGTTCTTCCTTGTCTTTATTAATGATTTACTAACTGGATTAAGACTTAGTAACAATGGTATATGTTTATATGGTATTGATGTGTCATCAGTCCCGTTAGCTGATGATACCACACTGTTAAGTACCACTCCGTCAGGGCTGCAGAATTCACTAAACATTGTTTCAGAATATGCTTCCCGATGGGGCTTAACATACAATGCATCTGAAAGCACTGTTGTAGTTTTTCGGGAAGGGAAACCATCTTGTCGAGAGGTCTCATTAATAACCATACCTACAACCTTAAATATAAACATACCTACAACCATAAATATAACCAAACTTAAAACCATAAATATAACCAAACCTACAACCATGCATATAACCATACCTACAACCATAAATATAACCATACCTACAACCATACCTATAACCATACCTACAACCATAAATATAAACATACCTACAGCCATACATACAACCACACCTAAACCATACCTACAACCCTACATATAACCATACCTACAACCATACATATAACCATACCAACAACCATACATATAACCATACCTACAACCATACCTATAGCCATACGTATAACCATACCTACAACCATACATATAACCATACCTACAACCATACATATAAGCATACCTACAGCCATACATAACCATACCTACACCCATACATATATATAACCATACATATAACCATACCTAAAACCATACCAAAACCATAATTACAACCATACATATAAACATACCTACAACCATTAATATAAACATACCAACAACCATACATATAGCCATACCTACAACCATACCTAAACCATACCTACAACTATACATATAAACATACCTACATCCATACATACAACAATACATATAACAATACGTACAACAATACATATAACCACACCTACAATCATAAATATAACAATACCTACAACCATACATATAAAAATACCTACAACCATACATATAACCATACTTACATCCATACATAGAACCATACCTACAACCATACCTATAACCATACATATAAACATAGCTACAACCATACATATAAACATACCTACAACCATACATATAACCATACCTACACCCATACATATAAACATACTTACAACCATACATATAAACATACATACAACCATACATATAAACATACCTACAACCATACACATAAACATACCTACAACCACACATATAACCATACCTACAACCATACATATAAACATACCTACAACCATACATATAACCATACGTATAACCATACCTACAACCATACATATAACCATACCTACACCCATACATATAACCATACATCTACAATAACCATACATATAACCATACTCTACAACAACCATATACCTTAAACCATACCTACAACCATACATATAACCATACAATCATACATATAACCATCAACCATACATATAAACATACCTACAACCATACATATATAGTAATTTCCATAACTATATATATAATCATACATATAACTATACTCTACCTATACATATAACCATAATTTACAACCATACATATAAAATCATACATATAACATATATAACCATACTCTACAACCATATACATACGACCATACATATAACCATACCTACAACCATACATATAAACATACCATTTCTTCCACCATATTTTCATACCATACATACTCATACATGTCTTCCATACATATCTTCATACATATCTTTCCTTATTTATACATATATGCTTTCCTGCTTTTTCCTTACCTCATATACATATATACCATACATACTCTTCCATATGTGTCCATATTTATACATGTTCCATATACCCTCTGTCATACATGCTCTGGATTTTCCTTCCTTCTAATCATACATACTCTTCCATCTCTTTCCTTCTTTCCTTTTCCTTTTCCTTATATTATACCTACAAGTTATACTCATTTATACACTCTTTCTACAATACATATATATCTATTCATATATGTCCTTTTTCTCTTTATACCATACTATTCCTTCCATACATATTTCCTTTTCTCCATATTCATGTCCATATATTTTGTATACATGTGTTCATCCATGTCTGTGTCTCCATGCATATGTGTGTCTCTGTCTGTCTCATTCCATGTCTCTGTTCATGCATGTGTCTGATCATGTGTCTGTCTGTGTCTCATGTCTCTGTGCATGGCTCATGTGTCTTCATGTCTCTTCCTTTTATACTCATTTATACCTCCTTCCACATACTCTGTTCCATATGTCTTCCATGCCACTATACATATTTTCCATACCTGTGTCTGTCCATGCATATGTCCATGTCTGTGTCTCCATGTTCCATACATGTCTTCCATGCCACATGTGTCTTCATGCCTGTGTCTGTGTGTCATGTGTCTCCATGTCTCTCTGTCTCTCTGTGTGTCTGTGTCTCCATGTGTCCATGTGTGTGTCTCTGTCTGTGTGTCATGTTCCATGTCTGTGTCTGTGTCTCATGTCTCTGTCTCCATATGTTCCATACCTGTCCATGCATGCCATGCCTCTGTCATATGTGTCTGTCTCACCATGCATGCTCAGGTCATGTGTCTCTGTGTCTCTGTGTCTCCATGTCTCTGTGTCTCCATGTGTCCATGTCTCTGTCCATGTCTCATGTCTCTGTCTCTGTGTCTCCATGTCTGTCCATGTCTCATTCCTGGCCATGTCTGTGTGTGTGTGCCTGTGTGTGTCTCTCATGTCTCCATGTCTGTGTCTGTCTGTCCTCTGTGTCCATGTGTCTGTCTGTCTGTGTCATGCCTTTGTGTCTCTGTGGAATACCTTTTCCATGCATGTCTATGCCTGTTCCATGTCTGTGTGCATGTCTGTGTCTCTCTGTCTCCATGTCTCTGTGTCTCTCTGTGTCTCTCTGGGATCATTCCTGTGTGTCTTCCATGTAATGGGACCATGTGTGTGTGTCTGTCTCTGTTCCATACATGTCTTTCATACATGTCTTCCATGCAGTATTATGTCCATGCCTCTGTTCATACATGTCTTCCATATATGTATGCATATACCTTGTTCATGTTCCATGTCTGTGTGTGTCTCCATGTCTCTGTCTCTGTCTCATGTCTCATTCCACATGTGTCTCTCTGTCTGTGTCTCCATGTCCATGCCTGTCTCTGTCTGTCTCATACTCTACAACCATACATATAACCATACCTACAAACCATACATATAACCATACATATAAACCATATACATATAACCATACATATATAACCATATACCTACAACCATACATATAACCATACTACACCTACATATATACATATAACCATACATATAACCATACCTACAACCATACATATAACCATACCTACAACCATACATATAACCATACATATAAACATACCTACAACCATACATATAACCAACCTATAACCATACAACCATAACATATAACCATACTCTACAACCATACATATAACCATACCTACAACCCATATACATATATAACCATACATATAACCATACCTACAACCATACATATAACCATACCTATACATAACAACATATAACATACATATAACCATACCTACAACCATACATATAAACATACCTACAACCATACATATAAATATACCTACAACCATACATATATAAATATACCTATACCATACATATAACCATATATACATACCTACAACCATACATATAAACATACTCTACAACCATACATATAAAACATACTCTACAACCATACATATATACATATACCATACTATACCATACATATAAACATACCTACAACCATACATATAACCATACCTACAACCATACATATAACCATACCTACAACCATACATATATAAACATACTCTACAACCATACATATAAACATACTCTACAACCATACATATAAATATACCTATACCATATACATATAACCATACCTACAACCATACATATAAACATACTCTACAACCATACATATAACCATATATAACCATACCTACAACCATACATATAACCATACCTACATATATATAACCATACATATACCTATAACCATACATATAACCATACCTACAACCATACATATAAACATATACTCTACAACCATATATATAACCATACTCTACAACTATACCTAACCATACATATAACCATACATATAAACATACCTACAACC